TTTTGGACTCACCGTGGCCGTTCTGGTGGCGTCGAGGCGGCGGCAGCGCTGCAGTTCCTTGTAGAGCTCCCCCCTGGGGGCGAACTCCAGGATGAGGAAAACGCGGCGCCGGTCGTGGAAATAATTGTAGAGACGGAGAACGTTGGGGTGCCTGGAACGGGGAAAAAAACAACAAATTCGGGAGTTTTCTGAACCTCAAAAATTCAACATTAGGACCCCAAAATTCCCCCAAAATCCCCAAAATTTGGAACCCAAAATCCACCTCAAAAACCCCCAAAAATTTCGTGAAAAAAACCCAAATTTGGGACCTTTTGAAAGCCAAAAAATTCCCCCCAAAAGACCCCAAAATTCCTCTAAAACCCCTCCCAGGTGTATTTTTACCTCTCCAGCTGTGTCCAGGTGTGTTTTTCACCTGTCCCAGGTGTATTTTCTCACCTCAAATGTGATTGGATCTCGATTTCCCGCCGGAGCTGATGCTCCACCCCCTCCCAGGTGTATTTTTACCTCTCCAGGTGTGTTTGGGTGTATTTTTTATCTGTCCCAGATGTGTTTGGGTGTGTTTTCACCTGTCCAGGTGTATTTTCTCACCTGAGGTGCGATTGGATCTCGATTTCCCTCCGGAGCTGATGCTCCACCCCCTCTCAGGTGTATTTTTACCTCTCCAGCTGTGTCCAGGTGTGTTTTTTACCTGTCCCAGGTGTGTTTTTCCCCTCCCCAGGTGTATTTTTTACCTGTCCCAGGTGTATTTTCTCACCTCAAATGCGATTGGATCTCGATTTCCCGCCTCAGCTGATGCTCCACCCCCTCCCAGGTGTATTTTTACCTCCCCAGGTGTGTTTTGGTGTATTTTTCACCTGTCCAGGTGTGTTTTTTACCTGTCCCAGGTGTATTTTCTCACCTGAGATGTGATTGGATCTCGATTTCCCTCCTCAGCTGATGCTCCACCCCCTCCCAGGTGTATTTTTCACCTGTTCAGGTGTATTTGGGTGTATTTTTTACCTCTCCAGGTGTATTTTTTCCCTCTCCAGATGTATTTGGGTGTGTTTTTTACCTGTCCCAGGTGTATTTTCTCACCTGAGATGTGATTGGATCTCGATTTCCCGCCGGAGCTGATGCTCCACCCCCTCTCAGGTGTGTTTTTACCTGTTCCAGGTGTGTTTGGGTGTATTTTTTCCCTCTCCAGGTGTATTTTTTCCCTCTCCAGGTGTATTTTCACCCGTCCCAGGTGTATTTTCTCACCTCAAATGCGATTGGATCTCGATTTCCCTCCGGAGCTGATGCTCCACCCCCTCCTGCTCCACCTGGGATTTGAAGAGCACCTTCAGGGCCACCAGGAACCCCGAGCGCCGCTCCCGGGCCAGGT